AAAGAAGCAAAGTGACAATTTTAATTGCTTGTTTTTTTACATTTATGAAGAAAACTGAAAAAACTGATAAGAAAAACTAAAAATTAATCACAGGTACTTTATATTTGGTAAGGTTTTATTCAATTTAATGATTTCTCGTTTTCACATTTAGTGAATGAAATTTGCAAAATTAGGTTATTTGACAGGTGAACTTCAAAATTAATTTTTATTTAATATTTTTTATCATTAGTTGTTTCTATCAATTTATAATATTAAATGAAGTTAATCTTGATACATTCCAATAATTTTTTTACATTTCCATAGTAAATGATGTGTTTTCTTTAATATTTTCTAATAGATGAAAAGTGACAGTTTTTAGGACCTCATATACTTTAGATGCTTATTTTACAATTCATATTAAAAATGTTTAAAAAAATATTTTTGTTTAGTGATCCTAATACCTTTAAAATCATTCCTGCAAAATATTATTATGTGTTAAAATTAGTCGACGACGACTTTAGTTAAAATGTAATGGAATGACTCTTTACTGGTGGCAATTCTTTTACTGGTGCAATTACCCTAAATGTGAAAAAAATCACGAACAGAACAATTTATACAACTAAAAATTATTCATATGAATGCAGAACAGTTCACGAGTAATGTCGGCTTTTAATCTATTTCTATGCATTTGCAAAATCAAAGCAGATCGAGAAAACAGTCTTTCGACTGGGACAGATGTTGCCTGAATGCTTAAATAGTCCCTTGACATTCGCACTGCCTGAATTTTCAATTCAGATTTCGTCTTGTTGAGATGGAATATAATAATTTTTTTTGTAGATGTTTTTAAATTTTTTTGAACGTTTTTGCTTTTAAAGCTCGTCTCCACTCTGTTTTGTCAAATACCTCAAGCATATGTCTTGGATCGAGTAGAAGTATATTACAGTTAACCTCATCTTCTAATATTGTAAATCTAATGTTTATAAGAAATCCTGAACCGACAAATTTTCAACATGAGCTGTGTACTTAAAATGTTTATCTTCTGAACTGAATGGAATGCCATTTTGATCTATTAGCTCCTTGAATTCACCGAGGAATTTAGTGTTTTTAAATTAAAACTTGAAATGAAGTAATGTATCGTAAATTCTTAATAAAAATTATAAAGAAACTGATAAACACAATTTGAACATATTCAATCTGTTATATTCCATAAAAGCAGTTTGCTACGATGGAGGTCCAACTATCAATGGTAAATGAAATTTTTCATGAATTTGTTTGTAATTTCATTATGACGTTATTTTTCATGTAGTTGAAAGTCGAAGAAACGATTGAACGCAATGTACTTTTTTGGAGAATCTTTGCCTCTTTTTTCAAGTAAGAAAAAAATTCTTCTTTTTACATAGCAGCACAAACTTTGCATTTCGCAAATTTTTCTTTCATCCCTGAATATTCATATCTAAATATTGATCGCAAAATTAATTTTTTTCTATTTTTAGAACAATGCTCATAACCAGCAGTTATTCTTTCCATAGATTAATCATTAGAAAACGTTTTAAAAAAGAAAATAGACGTTAAAATATAATGTTAGGATTGTGTCACTTCTTCAATTAACCGAAAAATTGGCTTATACCAATAAAAACTCTATAAATTAAAAAAAAAATTGTGTTCAACGAAAAATTCGATATATTTTACGAGGTTTGGAAAAATTCTAACATAATGAAACAAAACGGAGTTCAGAATCCAATTTAGGGCACCAAAATAAATGAAAGTAGGGTATTCCAGTGAAAATTAAATGATTTTTTATTGTGGAACTGTATTATTCATAAGATATCCGTTATTTGTGCATTATATTTTAAAAGTACCATAGCAACAGTTGAAATAAATTCTAAACATTAAAAGTACATTATTACATATTTTATATAAACTTACAACTCCAAAACCATGCATTTGCATAATACTGTAAATTGACACACTGTACAAGATTATCCAATACAGGTGCGAATGTTTAATAATGAGTCCTGTACTCTCTGAGGACAACCATCAATCGTGTAACCCTCATTAATTAATATCAGCGAAAGCTCCAAGATATTAAATTCTGACATTTACTAACTACATCGTATTATTAGTATTAAATAACAGACAAAGAATGTTTATTAAAGTTTATGTATTAAAACTATTAATTGAAATCAATGTTCCTTTATTAGTCATTAATAACACAGGACCACAATATTTTCTTTTGAAAAATATACATTGATTGAACTATGTGCACTATATGTAATTTGGTGTAAAGAAGCCCGGTTTGTTTCTATTTTGAACACAAGGTTTAAAAAATTTAAATAAATAAAGTTTCTAATAGATTACAACATTGGTTCTCGAAGTTTTTATGCCATGTTGAGATTCTTATGGAAATATAAATACTTTAGTGAGTGAGAATATTGTCACATTATTGTTTTATTTAAAAATTTTATTGTCTTGCTTAAATGTAATAATAATTATAATAATAATAAAACCGCTGCCAAGTTAAGCTTATCGTTTTTGTGTTCACTTCATCAACATTTAGGATGCATATTCTGAAACATCTAGAACTGGTCTTACTTTGTACAAAAGTCAGAACACTGCTGTTTTAGCATGAAACAATGCCGTTTCAGCATTGTGAAACACATCAGTTTTGAAAGTACAGTAGGGGAGGGTGGGGCAAAGATAGTTAGGTAAGACCTTTTCAGATCTAGCGGCCAAACCTAAATATGCATCATCTTTTCTAAATACGAATAGTATCTTTAGAAAGCCTGGTTATTTGGCTATAATTTTGCTGTAGATGGCGATACCTGCGAGATACCATATTTAAACAGTTAAAAATTTAAAACATTTTTAAACACAAATAAGACTGAACTCTAAGAAAACGTTTTGTTTGAGTCAAACAAGTTATGTTTAAATCAAACTTATAGATTATCTCTGCAATACAGTCAAACATATTTCAGTTTAAATCAAATATATTTATTGGTTGATTAAATGTAAATATTATATTAAGCTTAAACATAAATTTTTGTTGATTTTAAATAAATTTACATACTTGCTTTTAAGTTAAAATTAAACATAAATTTTAAAAAACGAGTGAAATTATGATAATTGCAAACAATAATATCTACACTGTGGGTATTATTAATAGAAAGAACAAAAATACTGAGTAAAACTGAGATAAACATAAAAATGCATTAGTGTGCATATATTCATCTTTAGTGTGAAATAAGATAATAATCAATTATAATTTATAGGTTAAAATGTCTATTCTGTATACTTATTTTTAAATCTGTTAATGAATTGGTCCAATTTACAATTACATAAAATGGTTTTTACGAACTCGTCCATTTTCACTTATATTTGTTATGAATAAATAATTAATGATACTGTGCTTGAGAGGGTTTATAGAATTAAGATCTTGCAGTTGCACTCTTACCTAATTTGTCTTTTATGGATCATATTAGTGAAATTGTTAACAGCGCTACTAATACTTTGGAATGTAGACAATTCAAGAATAAATCAACCTTAATTGTACTCTTTCAAGCATTGATTCTAACTAAATTTTATTATTCTAATATTACATGGTTCTCTGGTTTTTAAAAATATATTGATGCAATTAATCAATGCAACAACCAGTTTTGAAAATTCTTAGCTTGGAGAGAAGATAAAGTTTATCCTCTTAGAGGATAATTGATTTAAAAATTTTGCAGAATAGGTTTAGAGTTTGGTCAGTAGAAGACACAAAAATTTTCGAATACTATATTTATATTTAAGCTTCTTAAAGGTCTGATTGACTGTCCGTTTATATTACAATTGCTTCATTTAAGCTTTTCTTCAAGCCATATTAAAGCTTTTTATGACTAAATATTTTCTTTCTATAGTACTTCCAAATCTGCAAAAAACGCCGTTTTTGATATTTCGACCCCCTTTTTAAGGGGTCTGAATAATTTGAAATTTTTTTTGCAATTTGCTTGTTTATTGACATCCAAACATTCAATAAACGCTAGAATTTTGAAATAAACACAACATCATTGTTTTTTTGATACCCAGTGTAATAAGTTATTGAATCATAGCAAATCTGCATATTGCGTTATAATAAAAAAATGTCAAAAGTGAAGTTACCTTTTGTATAATGTAATAATTTAAATTACCCAAAAAAATCTTGGACATGAATCTCTAAACCCAACTCTTCTAATAGTGAAAGAATCCGTTTATTATTAAACACTTTAAAAAGAAATAAAACGGCATAAAATTCACCAAAATAAAGATGAGCATATTCAATGACGCGAAATCAAAACAGTAATAACCTAACAAGATAGTTGGCTTTATCAAGAAACTTGTAGTAACTTTATTAAATTTGTTTAAATTGTATGTAATTCTTTTTAACAATTTGTCACTAGTTATCGAAACCAAATAAAAAGTAAATTCAACAGAAGTCATTTTAACTATCTCAAAAAGTAAATTCAACTTCATAATTTTAATTCACATTATTAAAAATTTAGTTACTACAAGAACAAATATTTTAATTAACGAAAAACTGTTAATTTAGTTTTTAGTCAAAAATTTAAGTCGACTTAAGTGGTTTTTCGAGCGAATTGCTCATATAATATACCATTGAAGGTTCTATGGAACATCTGACATGACGTTGTTATGACCTTAATTATGCTTACATGAAGAAGGAGCAGGGTTCAATGTTTAGAATTAATCTTACGAAATTGTACCCTACATCTTATGTTTAGCCAAATAAATTATATTGCAATAAGTACTAATGGATTAGGTACGCCCACAAGTTCAAAAATGTTTTAAGACTACAGACAGTAACGTTAATTGTTATTAATATATCAATTACTATTATTACAAATTACTAACTAATAAATGCTGAAAAAGATATCGCATTTGCAAAAATTAATCGAACATGTTACATAAAGTTATATAACAGTTTTATTTTCGTTTTTCCTCACTCTCCTTAACTAAGGTACAAAAATATTATATTTTTAACTGCTTACCTTCTTTGTTGGCGTTGCTTTTTATTTCTGTAGCCTTTGGTGGTGATGAAGGCTTTGGTATTTCTGAAAGAATTATTGAACATTATTTTTCTTAACTTGCATTCTACAAGGAGCATTAAGTACACTCAAATGTTTTGGTTCCAATTTGTCGGCCTTTTAAAAAGTCGTGACACATCTATCGAAATGGTTTGGGGTCGCGACATATAAGTTTGTTCACAAGTCTCGAACTAACAACATTTTGATAGAAGTGTCACGACTTTTTAAAACGCCGTCAGATCGGAGAGAAAGCATTAATGCATTTGAGTGTAGGTATCTAGTCATGATTTAAATAAAACTGATATACGTAATAGATAAGTACCATATAGTCTAATCGAACCCTCTGTCTCTCCAAGGGAATTTTTGCTAATACATCGATAATTTCCAAAGTCTCCATTTTGCAAATTTCTTATAGTAAGTTTCATAGAAGTTTTATAACTGCTTTCTTCTATGTCCGTTGTATATTTTTCATTAGATAACACCATGGTGTAATTATATATCCAATAACTAATTGCTCTAGGATAGGCTTCAGTATTACAGTCAATAGTAACGTTTGTTCCAGCCGGAGCTCCAACTAACTGATTAGGCACCCAAATCATCGGCGAAACTATAACATTAAAAAATGTTTAAAAACGTAAATTGTGCGTAATATTTTTTATCGGAAGATATACACATAGCATGTGAAACAATAAATACACTGGAACCTCCGAAGAGCGAAGATCGGTTTCTTAAAAATCAAAATGTCGCATCCAACATGGCGGACTGTTTTATTGAACATTATTTTTATTTTATTAAATTCATTCAATTTTATTATCCTAATTGTTTAATTATTAATTTAACTCCTTACAGTTTTATAGTTTAATAATTTTCTATTAAGAATTAATTTTATTTTTTTATTTTTATTATTTAATTTAATTTCATTATCCTAATAAAATAATTTTTAATTTTCTGTTTCGCGATAAAAACATTCTTGTTGTTGAATAAAAACTAACAATCCAATGAGTTAGCAATGAGTTGTATATATTGTTTCGATGACTTTCTGTACAAAAAAAATTGTAATAACACTGCAAAATAGGAGAGACTGGGGCCAAAGGTTAAATTGTGAAAACAGTTAAAATTCATTATCTTTCGAACGGAAATAGTTAGAGCTTTGCAATTTTAACTATATAGAAGGGTGTTATCACCCTAAATAAATATCCGGAGTTATGTGACATTCTGTTAATTTTTGTGGTGTCCATATTTAAATTTTTTAACCCTACACGGAGAAAACTGGAGTATTCAACTAACTATCTGGAGGGACAAACATACTATATTTGAGGTTAAGTTTTTCGTAACAATCTCGGAGGGATAAATAGACACTCCGATGATTAACTTGACTCACTCGGAGGGAAAAGTTAACTATCCAGAGAATCAGGCATAATACTCAAGACCTAACCCTCTAAGTTTGACTATCCAGTTTTCTCAGTGTACTTTTGAAAATTTTTACGTAAAAGAAAATATCAACTTTTAAGTATATTTTTTGCATTTATTCTCACCGCGATTTTTTCACTTCATTATTTGGGTCCCCTGAAGAGATACCTAAAGGTATTTGCTAAATATCTTTATTCAGATTTATTATATTTTTTGTTAAAGCCAAAAACGCACCCTGGGGCGAAAAGTTAAATGTATTTTTACATGTTGTTAAAAATTATTTTTTTATTTTTCGTTTTTTTGGGTTTATTTGTTTAAAAATAATTTATTTGACATTAGCAAATACTCTGTCAAAAAACAAGACCTTTTACGTGAAATAAACCAAATTTGTTTGTTGTTGAAATTTTATTTTTCTAATTTTATAACTGTTCTAAAGCTTTTGTTAAATAAACACAGACCTTTTATTAACTAAGTTACTTGTTTACGTATACTTTAACTTATCTACTACTTAACACCCATCAGAAAATAGTTTTAGTAGGCTAAAAATAGAATTTAACATTTTGCCCCAGCCATTTAACTTTTCGCCCCATGTATTTTATGCGAAAATATCAGAAACTTTTTTATTGAAAGTTGTAGGGGACAAGTTGCCCTACAATATTGATATATAAATATTTGCATCTAAGCGGATTATATTGTCTAAAAAAATCATTTATGCAAAATTTAACTTTTCGCCCCAGTCTCCCCTACTTTAATTCCTAAAAAATCATTTTAGTAGCAATTTGCATTACGTTTCTTCATATACTTTAAATAAATATACAAAAATTAAATTTTTCAACCTAAATAATCGATTTTGTTATTCGATGTCAGATTTCCAAAATTCAAAATGGCGGATCCAATATGGAGGAAAAATTTTAAAAATTGATTGTATTTGCTTAAAATTTAAAAATACACAAGAATATTCCCTTGGCAAGGTTCGTCTGTGTAAAGCGTTGAAGTTCAGTTTAGATGAGACAAAGACTCGAGTCATTGGCACTGATTAAGGAGTATTATTGAGTGTGTGTCGCGTTAGATACTTCGGAATTAGGCTGCACTCATCTCCTGAAAGTGGACATTATAAAGAAACATGGATCAGAACCGGTTTTTACGAAATCTTACGCGACAAAAGCGGAAAAACACGAACTAATAAGGGAAAAAGTGTGAGAATGGAAAGCAAATAAAACAGCCACGGAAACGTACGCTCCATATGCTAGTCCATGTGTTTTGGTAGGGAAGGCCGATGGAACATTGATATTAGTAGTCGACTGTCGATGGTTAAACAAAAACAGTTTGTCCCTCCCTAAAGTAGATGATAATATGCAAGTGTTATAGTGATCACGGATTTTTGCGGTAGTTGATTTGGCTTTAAGTTATATGCAAATTTCGTTAACTGAAAACGCGAAAGAGAAAACAGCATTCATCACACAAGATGAAACGGGGCAATTTGAAAGAGCCATAATTGGGTTGATGAATGCTCCGTTTTATTTTTCTAATTTAATGAGAATGGTATTGATTAGTTATTTGTTTACACCCAAACGTAGGAGGAATTATTAGAAAAGAAGATTATTAATTATTATTGAGAAGATTTTAATTCTTTTGAAAGATGCCAGTTTAACTTTGAACTTAACAAATGCAAATTTATTCTTGACAGAGTGAGTATTTAGGGTACAATTATGGTAAATATGGAATTGATCCGGGAGAATAAAAATCAGCACAATAGATGAGTTTCTGACAAGGAGATCTGTACATGAAGCACTCAACTTCCATGGTCTAGCAAGCTTCTTCCGACATTGTATTCCTGAATTGTAGGTTTATGTTGGGGGTGTGAATACTGAATCCTGTATCACAATTGGTGTAGATGTGTGAGTGGTCTAGAAGTTTTGACTTGAGTTTTTCAAAATGTGCTCTATATAATACGCGTTCTTTATTCCTTTTTGATAGTTGTGAAGTTCTTCGTTAATGTGGGGTAAGGTAATTTGCCAAGGGGAAATAAGAATAGGTCTGTAGTGATTTATTTTTGGTAACGTTGAGTTTATTGAAGCTAAGTCTTGTGTGATTCTGTGGTAAAATGGGTATTTTCCTTTAAATTTAATTTAATAATTAATTAAATTTATAATAGTCATCAGACTGACGATTCTGAACTAAAGTCGAGACAGCTACTCCCAACTGATAATACAGTGGAAAATCTGTATGAGTGGACGTCATGACACCTATCATAGTGGATGACATTCGCAAAAGGATCCGTCTCTGCAATAAAAAATCAGCTCCTGGCATCTAAGAAATCACACCTAAGAAAGGTGTAGCTGAGATCTAGGAAAAACTCTTTAATCTCTTACTCTATGTTGGATACTTCACAAAAAGCTGGAAAATAAATAAAACAACCTTAATCCCGAAGACCGGGTATGTTAATGGTGTCATGAATTGACGACCGATTACCATCTCTTCAATGGTGGCGAGGGTCTTCATGGGATTAATAGATAATAAAACTAGTAAAATAACGAAGCTTTCTTGTAGGCAGAAGGGTTTTACTAGTGAAAATGGCTGTACCGACAATATAAATATATTAAATAAGGCGTTAACATCTGCTAAAAATATAGGAGGAATTTCCCTTGTATTGGATATTAGAAAAGCATAGACACAGTCAGCCACTGCGCTATTAGAAAAAGCCTTATAAAAGCATGATCCAATTTCTCCAACTATATTTAATTGTGTAATGGACCCGATAATTTCTATTGTTGAGAATTTGGGTGGTGGTGGAACAAAGAGAGTGCAAATACTTGCCTTCGCGGACGATCTTGTCGTCCAGGCCGCAGATAAACATCAAGCCATCGCATTGCTTAAAATTATTAAAGAAAAGCATAAAAAGGTTAGAGTGAGTATCTCTGTTGGAAAGTGATGTTGCTTTCGAATCAGAGACCTCCCTCTCTAGCCAATTCAAAAGATACGCGATACGCTGACCCTCACTTTCTATACAGCTTAATTATTGGGAAAACAACCTTAACTAAGTTGGGGCAATTGGATCGCATAATAAAGTAAGTGTTAAACACATTTTACACTTACATCACTCAACAACCGATGGTTTGCTCTACTGGAGGAAGAGAGATGGAGAAATAGGATTGCTGCCCAGAGTTTTCAACAAACTCTGGGCCAAACTTAAAAATTTAGCCAAACTTAAAAATTGGCATGAAATGCGAACATCTAAAGATTTAACATCTAGGGAAGTAGCAACCTCCGATAATTACATTAAAAATATAGTAGTTGGCTCCAGAAGAACATTGCCTCATTTCACCGTTCGTGTCTTGAAGGAGTATCTTTAATAGCATTAATGTAGCCCTTGATATTGGTAATGCAAAAGTAATCAATCTTCTCGAGTTAATGGTTTTTCCCACAATGTTTTTTTTAAACTTTAGGTATTTATTCTGTTCCTATTATTGGAACGAGTTAACATTATGCATCAGGAAATGCAGATTATAAGAAAAACCCATTTTTTATTCGGAATGACTATCTGAATCGCAACGTGAAAACAATCTCTGTAAATTTGTTTAGTATTTCAAATAATAACAATTATTGTAATGTTCTTTGATTAGAAAGAGTGTGAAAAGGGTTAAATTTTTCTTATACATACAATATATTTCTAAAGTACATACTTATGTTATTTGCTTTGGATAAAGGTGAAAAGAGAATTGCCACTCCCATATCTAAGTCTTCAAAGTTCACCCTCGTTGAGAAACATTTTATTGCTAGGTCGGTTTATATAGTATGTATACATATTATACCTATGTATACTAACAATTATTAGTTATATATTAGCTACTTTGATGATTCGGGTTTTTTCACTAAATGCATCGACTTATTACGATATAAACAATATCAAATTTTATGAATAAGTGTTCTTCATTTCAGTCTCAAAATTATGAGTTCAATATATTTTGAAATTTATCCTAATCCTATCATTTAAAATATTTCTTTAATATGCTTTATTACTTCAGAATTGGTTTAAAACTAAACTTGAAAATATGTCTTCCTAAAACTGTATAATGTAAGAAGAAGTTAAATTCTATTTTGTTATATTTAATATTTGGTTTACTGTTTATCTGAAAAGTGTTAAACATTGCATTTAAGTGACGAACCACATAGTAAAACAATATTTAATTTGTTTTTGATTAACTTTAATTCCAGGAAATTTTACTTACTCTGAAGTAAGAATACAATCTTAAATGTCACTTTTCACAATTTTATAACAATCTGTTTCGTTTGAAATTTTTATCTTTAGTCGAAACAAAGTATATCGTATAGCAGTGAAAGGTTTTCTTACATATGTTGTTGATAAATACCCATGGGAAATACAGTGAGCCGCACAAGCAGCCATACGGTCATTTTCTCCTTTTATGCGTTCCATTCGTTTGTGTCATTTTATATTCTTGAGTTTACTTTATCATATGTGTGTTAGAAGGAAGATGGAAATATGTTGTGGTAGTAAAATATTGAAGTAGCTTTTTTAAAATTCAAATTAAAAAAAATATAAACTTAAATTGATAATTAACTCAGCTAAAGTTTTTACATTACTGGTTGAAAAAATAAAATTAATAAATAAAATAAATTAATAAATTGTCCGTACAAAAGTATACGGACAATTCCACATTAGATTTATATTCGAATTTCAAATTCTGTCTAAAATGTTTTTTATTTTTTGTTAAAAAAAGGATATATATATCTTATTTTTTGTAACCAAACTTTTGTTTTATGAATTGTCAAAAATTGTTTTTTTTAAATTAAACCTAGTTTTAAATACACAAAACTCTGAAATTATTAATCAAAATGTTACATATGAATTTCGGATCAAATGTCATGATATGTGTATGGATTCCCCTTTTCAGGAATACGATATCTTGAATACGTATTATCTGATTTCATAAAGAATAATAGAATTATTAATTAATTAATTTATTATTAAATGTCAAAACAGGAAAACTAATTTGGAAATTCGACATTTTGTATTTTCAAAATTCGTAATCAGCGGCCTCGAAAATATTTAAATACCCAATTATAAAGGGATGATTAAAAATTGTAGGCTGTAGACATTTTTGAAAAGTAAATTGTACAAAATTCCCACTGTGAGGCGTGGCGCAGTGTGGGCAAAAGCACTTTTCTTGGACAAAATTCTGCCGACAGCTCATATGTTGACCGATTTTGGGCTACTTTTTTTTTAAATACTCATGAAGATTTCTGCTATAAGGCCTAACTGACAAAAAATATTATTTCGTGAAAACTAACTTAAAAATTACTATTAACTTTCAAAAAATTCATTTTCAAAAATTAATATTGAGATTCAGGCAAATTATAATATTAATTGTAATCAATTAATTCATTATTTTTTTATTTTTCATAGTTTTAATTTATTTTCAATTCTTATATTTATCATTTCTAGACAAAAAAAACTCTCTAAAAAGTTAAAAGAGTTGATAGAACCAATAAGCAAAACTGTCCTAACATCTAATTTAAAATGAACTAGTACTGCTGTTAAAAAAATAAAATTGTTTTTCTTAAAATCTGATTTTACAACGATTTTTCAGACATTTCCCGCCTTATTAAATCCACTTAGTTATAATTTAGTGAGTTATAATTTATTATAAAGATTATTATTAAATTTATTAATAGACACAAAAATAAAGTCTTCAAGTTTATTTGAAGAAAATTGACCAAACGTTTGTTATGAAAATCAAAAACTTAGTGTCGATAGGAAACAAATATATGGAGCATATGTTTCCTTAGAGGATACTGTGAAGAAAACTTATTCAATTCCAGTAGTAATGGAATCAATTTATACTTACATGAATGGCTTGAAAAAGAGGAAAAATAGATATAAAATGTTGTACAAGCCGATTTGTGGAAAAATATATAAAGATTTAGGTATTACCCCTATATTTATATTTTGACGAATTTGAAACTCGAAACCCTTTAGGAAGCCACGCTGCGGAAAAGAAACTGGGTGGTGTTTGTTTTCACTTGCCTCTTTACCTCCTCATATGAGTGCAAAGTTAAAAAATGTGTTTGTTTCAACAATTTTTAAGGGAAAATAATTTAAACAATTTGAAATAGAACAATTATTTCGAAAAACATTAGAGGATCTCAAACCTTTATCTACCAAAATAGTGTATTTTCAATTAATTGAATAAATTTGACATTACACAGAATATATCAGAAGATTTAATGCATGATGGTCCAGAAGGACTATTTAATTATACAATGTTAAAAATCTTAGACAGTTTAATTAAAGACATATAAATAAATTTAGATACTATAAATAAAGAGATTGAAACCTTTCGATTAGAGAAATTAAATAAACCGCGATTTCTATTTTTTCTTCAAGGAAGAAAAGGGAAAAGAAATTGGAAAATTAAACAGTTTGTATCAGAAAACTTTTGCTTAACTTGGTATTTAGAACTGATGATAGGGGATCTCATTCCGGACAATAACTTCAAATGTACAAGATGGTGTACACGACATAGGTTTTTAGATGAAAATCATGGACTCACAGTGTTCAAAAATTCTAAAACAATTTGTAAGGAAGTTCAAGAAAATGTTAAGTGTTAAATATTCATTGTTCAATTTATGTTGTCAACTTTACCCTACCGTTTCCTTCTGTTTTTGTGTTTTATGCACGATTTATTTATATTTTAATTGTATAAATTGTACGTAAGATCTTTATTCTACTAAGTATTGGACCGAATGGTTTGAAATAAAGAATTATTATTCCAGACAATAATTGTTACTGAAAGTTGTACCTTTGTTTGAAATATATTGTTAATATTCTGCTATCTCTAGTGGTTGATAGAGGACAAATTCAAAATCTAAAAATACTGATAATTAAGCATAACAATCAATACCTAAAATTTTTTGGAAAATTGAGACCAAAAATGCATACATGTCTTCATTATCCAAGACCACAATTTTGTGGTTTTTTTTATGGTTTTCACCATGAACATCAAATTTGCGCCAATTTTCATTATCATTTTCGTAATCAGCGCATCAAAATACGTTGGTATACCATTTTTCATTGAAATCGGAGGTCCCCCTTATTCGGAAGTAATCCACTTTATTTATGTAAAATTAGATATTGACAGTGATTCATTTTGGAAAAATTTATTAAAGGGGGGTTTACGAATTGTGACGTAACTTAGAGGGAGGGGGGTTCCTTCAGATGTTACGTAGTCTGACAAAGGGGGGAGGGGGTAAAAAATGGGCTAAAAACCCGTGAAGAAATTACCCTACTGGGGCCATAGTAAGGAATGAAACGCCGCGCCTGATCAGGCCCAGATCGGGGCGACAAGAAAATGTGGATTTCCAGATCAGGACCACATCGGGCACGGCGTTTCATTCCCTAATAGGTCGGTCCTATCCGGCCCTGATCAGTGCCCCAACGAAATTTCTACACGGGAACGTGTGACGTAATTTATGGACGAAGCCCTATATATTAGATCCGCTATTTTTAATTTAATAAGCCTGACTTCAATTGACAATCTGAAAGACCAGATGCAATGAATTCTTGTTAATCTCTTTTTAGTTGGTGGTTCAAAAGCGAATAATAAAATTCCCGTTGTTTTAAAAACTCCTAGAAAATTTTGCTATTCTTTTAATTAGGTTGTTTCACTACATCGAGATATTTCGAGTTCGAGTATGACGTCACCCCAGCAGCACGTAATGTTGGGAACATTCCAGCAGTATTCCAGTAACATCAACAACATTGAGGCAATATTGGTAATGTTAAGGCACTGTTCTCAATATTGCTGTAATATTACGTGCTACTGGGGCAGATAGCTGGAGGGAAAGCAAGCAGACAACACAATGCAATTCTTATGGGAGAAAAAAATGTTGGAACTTTTTTTCAATGTTTTGCAAATTTAATGGATTTTAAACTCTTTTTTGTTTACATATATGGAATTGAAACGAATTCTATAAAATAGTTTTAGTGGAATTAACAATTTTTACTTCACAGGAACTTTAAAATATGTTAAAATGTATGTTTCTGAGGTTAAGAACGTTTGTTTACAACTATTTTATACATAGAGATAATAGTTGTAAACAAACGTTCTTACCTCAAAAACATACATTTTAGCATATTTTGAAGTTCCTGTGAAGTAAAAATTGTTAATTCTACTAAAAATATTTTATAGAATTCATTTCAATTCCTTATATGTAAACAAAAAAGAGATTAAAATCCATTAAATCTGCAAAACATTGAAAAAAAGTTCCAAAAATTTTTTCTCCTATAAGAATTGCATTGTGTCGTCTGCTTGCTTTCCCTCCAGCTATCTAACGTCACACTTGAAATCGACTCTGACGTCACAAGTGAAATAGCCTAATTTTGGCTTAAATATTGAAATAATTTAAATATTATTAGCCAGCACTAAAGCAAAATTATTGTTGTTGATAAGTATTTATGAATGATTGTACTTACATTCAACATCCACTGTGATCCTTTTACTAACAGTTGGAGGAATTCCATTTGTAGCAATGCAAAGATAAGCTCCCATTTCTGCTCTCGTAATTTTACTTAAATTCAGATGCTCTCCTTCGTATTTAAGTACTGTAAAGAAACAAATTTATTTTACTTCACGTGCAAATGTAAGAATGCACCGCAATCAAGAAGGCTGTTTTCGACGTTTGCTTAACAATCTTAAGCAAACGACGTAAACACTTAGTTAACAAAAGTCTAATTATTATTAATTTTCTTTTGGATCTATCAAATCAAAATTAGCTCGGTTTTAACACCTAGTGAAAGCCGAAAGTAGGTTTTCTCTTTGCTTATTATTGCCAAACTATGGACCACTACTGAAAAACCGTGGGATCTCCACGCGGATGCCAATAATTGGCAAATTACTAGGTACGGAAAATAGTCTTACATGTTCTTTGTGTATTAAAGTTTAAAGGTAAAAACTTAGTTGATGTTCAAAATGATTGTTTTAAAAGGCAAAAAATTGAAGCAAAAAAATAGTAACTTTTTCTGAACAAAATTTTCCGGTTTTGAGTGTAGGCGACTGTGTTACATTAGCTTTACCTGCAGTAGATCGAGGACCACTTGACTATAATAATATTTTAGGGGTTATTACTATCGTCCAAAATGGTGTTTATCAAATTGGTAGAAAGGATGGTTTAATTAAGGGTTGGTTTTCTCGAACCATAAAATATCTCTTGGAAATCTATAATATTTTTCAAATATAAGTTACAAAATTTTTGGAATTCTTTTTCACATTTATCCTTTGTTGATGTAAATGAAGTTTATTTTCTGTACGTTTTTATTTCTAGACAATATTTTAAATAATAGTTTTCATTTACAATTCAAATAAACTTAAAATTTAAATTGATATTTAAATAAAACTTTTAATAAAGAAAAACTACATTTAAATTATTAGTGGGACTCAGTTGGGGAATCTAACTGACAACAAACAAACTGTTATTTAACAAAAAAATATATAACAGTATTTAAATTTAACAGAATATTAGCATAACTTTCTTGGCGCATAGCAGAATTATCATATCAGCAATCCTGACATGAAACAGAATTGACATTTCACCGGTCTGAGATACCATACAACAAAATTGTTATATTACAACAGAACTGATTTATAATAAATTTTTCTTCTATCACAATTAACATGTAGCAAAATTTACAAAATCAATAAATTTATTTAAAAAAATCTGTCCGCGCAAGCGCGGACACATTCTCATCCGCGCTTCGCGCGGGGGCTCGCTTCGCTCGCAAGTTTCAGCGCGCCTCGGGGCGCGCGAATATTGATCGTCGCGCTTCGCGCTCCGGCAATTATTCCACACGTCGCGCTTCGCGCTCCGTGTGTTGTTGCGCGCTTCGCGCGCAAATGGCTCGCTTCGCTTGCGGCGGTCTGCAATTGTTGTGCATTATTTGTGTTCTAGTTCTTATTTCCTATTATATGTTTCGTAAAACATTTTTTTTTTCTTAAAGTTACTACGACTTTAAGGATTACATTCTCATCACATGTTTTTGTTTGCTGATGATTGCGAGATAAAGTGGATTTAAATGTATATTTTTGGTCTTGATGATTTAAATTGTGAAGTTATTTTTTATTATAGCAGAAACATGATTTGCAGAAGCAGCTAAAATATTCTTAAAGTATTAGTATCAAGTTGTTTGTGTAGTGTAGACCGGAGCGTAATGGCTAACTTTTCACTCTTTGTTGATTTACACGGACATTTTTGTTTTAATTAAGTGTTTATCTCCTAGAAAAGTTACTCTAGTACCTCAGCTTTCTTTTAAAAAGTCGAACGTCCCTATATTACGCTTACTTTTTTTTCTACAATGAACGTACACTTCGTCGGTATCGTAGGTATTGCTCTTTTATACATAGCGTGTTGCATTAGCCAACACGCCCTAGGGGTACTTGGGAAATATTTTGTAATTTTTATCAATACAGTAAGTGTGAATCAAAAATCTAAAATTGACCCTCAAAAAATGTTTCAAGCTTAAAACGCGATTTTAGTTTCTTTTTTAAAGTTATTTTAAAAAAATTAGAATGAAAAAATGAAAATTTTGAAAAGTTACTTTCATATGTGAAATACAGATTTTCTACTATATTTCTTACAATAGTTATTGAATAATAAATAATCAACCTTTGTAGAAACTTGCAGTACATCAAGTTGTCTTTGGAGTGAAATCATTTCGATTTACGATTTTTAAATAAATTACAATTATTCATTACGCCCCTTAGCCATTATGTCCCGTTTTCCCTATATACGTGATTTGTAAATATATATCAAGTGTATGATTAAAAACATGTAAATTTGGATACAGTGAATGTGATATTTACCCATCGTTTTAACAAGCAAAAGTAAAACACCTCCACTAAGCTGAGACAAAAAGTCAAAAATTCGAAAAAAGTTTTTGAAAAAATTAAGTTTTTCAAAAGTTATCGTCGGACAGACAGACAGACAGACAGACGTAATCGACAGACCATGTTTCTTGGATTCAGGGCACCTCAAAACGCAAAGATTTCATAAAATTAGCAAATAGTATATTAAGCAACAAGGTACCGTAAAGGCAGCCTTTAAGTCCCGTGTAACTTACGAAATTTTTTATTCTAAAGGCACAAAAGTGGCGATTTAAGATAGCAGACGACAGGGAGTAAAACTCATTCACTTGTTCGACTTCTATGAAAATGGCGGCATTTTTTTTCCATGAGCAAAAATAACGCATGGGAATAGCTGTTTTTTTTGTCCATGGGAAAAAAAGGTCGCCATTTTCATTCAACCTGAGGTATAAAAAGTCAATTTTTCATCAAATCTAATACCTCCTCATGTGATTAGAATGTAAAAAACCATTTCCAACAAGATAGGACCAAAAATTAAAATGTAAAAAAGGGTCAGACCAGCCAAACTGCATTAAAAAAATTTCATTGATTTTCTAAAATGTTAAAACTTTTATGAATATATTTTAGTTATAACATTTTAGAAAATCAATAAAAATTTTTTAACCCAGTTAAGCTAGCCTGACCCAAAAACTTAAAAAAAAAAAATTAATTTTCTATGAAAAAATGTTGTAGAGGAAAGTTGTTTGTATTTGTCTAATCTAAAGTAATATAAAGTTTAAAATAATGAAAATTGAAAAAATTGAATTTTCAAAATTTTGAAACTACTGTAGTTTGCGTAGTTTTCGACAAAAATTGCTGGCTAACGAACTCGATCTGTATTTTAACACTAACTTTGTGCATGCAAAGTTGCAAGTTGATGCAATAAGTTTTTCAAGAGTTATCGTAGGGACACCATTGTGTCTACAGACAGACACGAAGACAGACATACGGACAGACACTTTTTTTAGACCATGTTTTTCGGACTCAGGGGACCCCAAAACGTCGAGATTTCATGAAATTAGCGAAAGTCAATTTTCGACCAAAACTAATACTTTCTCATATGATGAGAATGTAAAAATTGACATACAACAGAATTAATATTTGATTTAACAGAATTGATACTTTAAAGACATGACACGCAACAAAAGTGTAATTCGACAGCTACTTTGATAATGTAACATAACCGACATTTTACAGACGCGACATTAAATGCAACAGAATTGATAGTTTACAAAACAGACATTTGATAGAATTGTCATTTAACAGAATTGACATGCAACAGAGTTTTTTTATTCAACAAAATTGATATTTAACAAAGTTTAACAAAATTATCATGCAAGACAATTATTTTAGTGCAAATTATTAAATTATCCAATCATTATTTATTTTACATCTTTACATTATTCAATTTAAAAATTCGTGCTAAAATAATTATGTTACACGTCTATTCTTTTGAGTGACAATTCCGTTGCATGTCATGTCAGTATATATAGTGTCAATTCTTTGAATGTCACTTAGCTGTTTCTATTTCAATTTATGCAGGGCGAATAGGTTGAAAATTCTAAATCAAGTTTAATATGATTTTTCTTGTTTTTTAAGACAAATAAAGAGATACGTATTTTTTGGTTCGTCGAAAAAAAATTTTATCGCAGAGTTATGAGTATTTGAAAATTTTAAGGCACATAGTGATTTTAGAGTTAAACAGCTGAAAAATTATTTTTAAATCTTTCTAGTTTTTACAAAAATCAATATTTTTCAATTCTGCTTCTTGATTTTAGTAGTGTTTTTGATACTCTTTCTTTACAAACTTGAAAATTTGAAAAATTTTGAAAATTAACAAAATGGCGGCCATTTTTTAAAAAATCAAAAAAGTCAATTTTCTCAAAAACATCATTTTTTAATTTTCTGCAAATTTTTGTGTGGTTTCTAGATGGAAAAAGGAACTTTTTCCAAAAGGTCTCATGTTCGCTAAAACTTTTTGGAAGTCGCTATAATTTTTTTTAGAAAATAAAAAAACTCATTATTTTGAGTAATGTGTCGACATATATATTTTTCATGTATACAAGGGTGTTCATCTTTTTTAATAGTGCTTTTGACACTTTTTCTCTTCAAAATTGCAAATTTCAAAAATTAACAAAATGGCGGCCGTTTTTCAAAAAATATAAGATCTCAATTTTCTCCAAAACATTATTTTTTATTTTTCTGAAAATTTTTTTGGGGTTTCTAGATAAAAAAATTACCCTTTCAAAAAAGGTGACTTTTTCTTAGTAAAGTTAATCTTTAATATTTTATTTATTAATAAATATTACAATAAACATAGTTATTTTTAAAAATTTTTTAAAATGGCTGCCATTTAGTTAATTTTTGAAATTTTTTAACTTTACTAAGAAAAGTCACCTTTTTGAAAGGGTTATTTTTTATCTAGAAACCACAAAAAAATTTTCAGAAAAATAGAAAATAAAGTTTTGGAGATAATTGAGATCTTATATTTTTTGAAAAACGGCCGCCATTTTGTTAAATTTTGAAATTTTCAATTTTAAAAAGAAAAAGTGTCAAAAGCACTATTAAAAAAGATGAACACCCTTGTATACATGAAAAATATATATGTGGACGTCCACATGAAAAGGGCCCATTTTGTCGGTCATTTTCAAAAGTAATCCGTATTTTAAAAATGGAGGTGTGGAAAAATTTAAAACCTTTTGATTTT